GGAAGAGCTGCTGTAGTCCACGGTGATGAAGGGATGGGCGAGGATCTCGCTCGGCATGATCCTCTCATTTGCATCCCAGTTCAGCATCGCCTTCAGTAACTCAATGCATTCCTTCCTCTCGCTCGCCTCATTTGGGTTGTCAATCTCTTGTTTAATCTGATAATTAAACAACACATTAAAATCAATCAAAATAATTGATTTGATTGTAAAATTATTCATTTCAGTTATTGGTGCATGAGTGAGAGTGAGATACTTACAATTTTTCCATTACCTAGAGTGCGAAATCTGCAGTTCCTCGTGATTGTAAAGTATTTCTGAGGATCCTGTTAAAAGAAATAAAATTTGTATTTTATAAGTTTAATAGGATACCATAAATACCCTTTTTAGGTTACCGAACAATTAAATGGAATATGTTACCATTGCTAATTTAAGGTAATTCTCATGACATTTTCATCTATGAAATAATAAAGAATGTTTATATTATTGTTAAACTACTGCAGACCTTTTGAGACTAAAGAGCAACACTCCCGGTAGCAAAAAGGATTACTGGCCAGAGATTTTAAAGGGCATTTAAAATCTCTGATGTCAGAGATTTTAGAGTGAATATTTCTGCCAAAATGTGCTGTTTACAAAGAATTGTATATCTATTCACAGCAGAAAATTTGAGGAAAAGCTCTGATCAGACTTTAAAATTTATAAACATGTCTAAATAATTGTGGATTGTGAAACAAAGTTTTAAATTGGAGTAAAATTCCTTCCGTTTTGAAATTTTGAATGGTTTTAAGATGTCAGAAATCCACTTTGAAACTGGCGTAAAGCTGTAGTTAACGGTTAGCTTTAGCTTTACCTGAGAAGAAATAATCTGTTTCCCAACTGAAATATCTTAAATAGTTATTTATAACAAGTAAGACACGAATTGTTCTTAAAGGTCAAATTTACTCATATTTTTCACACATTTGCAGTGGTTTCTAATAGGAATGAATGCATTATGAGTGATTCTGAGGGACAATAAAGCTCAGGTGTGCCTAGTTGAGGATGTGAAAGTCAGCCTGAGGAGAAAGTTAGACAACAGGTTTTGGAGTCTTATTTTCTAATACATCTCGCCTCGGATCTGAGAACAGCAACGAGACTACCACTGACTTAAAACATTGATGTTTTATCTCCACAAATAACTCAAGCCTGAAGGAGTTCTGCTGTGTGGTGGAATTGCTAATGCTAACGGTTAGCTTCTACTAGCCGAGACCTTCTCTGCTGGTTCCTGGATGCTAAACTAACAACAGAGTCGATGGGTGAGTCCATGAATGTAAAGTGACAGTGTGACGTAGATCTGTCAGGCTTTCCTAATCGTAGATTTTCACTGTCAGAAGCTAATGCAGGATATAGGTGTAGGAGACTATTTTCATGTTCAGCCTGCATGAAAAACTCAGAGTAACCAATTATAATCAAAAATAATCATTAAAATTGTACTTTTTTCAGAAACTCTCTTTAAAAGATATACATGACAACTTGATGTGTTTTAAGTGAAATAAACAAAACATTTTTGTTACTTGTTTTCTTGTGTTTATGCCGTGTTCCTTGAAATGTGTTTTCAAACCCAGAAAAGAAGTAAAGTAGCATTTTGGGATTATAAAGTCACCCCCTGATCAAGCTTACTGTACCTTTAGAAGCCATTGATTGTCAGTCTTGTGAAAAAACTTTTCCGTTTTACGGCCTGTGTTAAGAAGATCCATTGGTGGAGGTCCAAGAAGGCTGATCATATAGTAGAGCTGAAAAAAAAAAAACACAAAACAGGCTTACATCAGGACCGGTCACTTTCAGGAGATTAAAAGTGAGTGTTTTCTAAATCATGATAGTGACAAAGAGTTATGTAGAAAAAGACACAGAAGTCAAATTAAATAGCACAAATGATTATTTTCTATCATGAACAGCATTTTTCAGCCTCCCGACTCCTTACCCATCCATCTTTACTCTCCAGAAACCTGTAACTTCAGTTTTTTAATGATAAGGTCAATAGAATCCATCTCTCTTTACCTCATTCCTCCCCTCCCTCTCCTGATTTATTTGAACCCTCCATTCAGTTCTTCTCCTTTAAACTTCCCCATCCCTCAGAACTATTAGATTACATCACCAAATCCAAACCTTCCAACTGTCAACTTGACCCTATTCCAACAGTTTTAGTTAAATCCTGCCTTTCCTCCCCGCTCCTTTTTATAACAGCCATTATTCATTCCTCACTATCCTCTGGTACGGTCCCCTCCCTATTCAAATCCGCTTCAGTCAGCCCTATTCTAAAAAAAACCTGGTTCAGATCCCAATGATTTCAATAATCTCCGTCCCATTTCCCTTCATTTCCAAAGTCCTAGAGAAAACTGTTGCATCTCAGCTGCACTCCCATCTCACCCGCAATAACCTTTATGAACAGTTTCAGTCTGGCTTCCGTCCCCACCACAGCACAGAAACAGCTCTCATCAACATTACTAATGACCTACTCATTGCTGCTGATTCTGGTTTAATCTCTATTCTCATTTTCCTCGATCTGAGTGCGGCCTTTGACACCATTTCTCATCCCATCCTCCTCAATAGACTCTCTTCCTTAGACATCACTCACACCCCCCTCTGCTGGTTTCAATCTTACCTTACTGGCCACACTCAGTTCATCCAATTAAAATCCTTTTCCTCAGAACCCTCCCCAGTCAAGTCAGGTGTGCCCCAAGGATCTGTCCTGGGGCCCCTCCTCTTCATAGTATATCTCCTCCCTTTCGGCAAAATCTTCCGTAAATTCAATATCCAGTTTCACTGCTTCGCGGATGACACCCAGCTCTACATTTCCAGTAAGCCCAACTCAACTCTCCCACCATTCTCCTTTACACTCTGCCTCTCAGAAATCAAATCATGGTTCACCTCTAATTTCCTCAAACTCAACGGCAATTGGGCTTGGGCGGTATTACGGTATTACCGTATTACCGTTTACACGCGGTATTACAAAATAGCGACGTGTCAGTTCCAATACCGTCATGAAAAACAGCTGTGCGACTGACCAGTTCCTCTATCCTCCCCATACTCCAGCTCTGCAGGGAGAGCGTGTTGGCTGTGTCAGAAAACGACCTCCAGCTTACAAAGTCAATAAAAACCACAATTCTAAAAAAGCTGGAGGCCAAGTATGAATCTGATTCAGTGCGCAAATTAATGCAAAAATGCACTTTCCTCGATCCTCGTTACCGTGGCAGAAATGAGCTTGATGACAGCGCACTGGCTGAAATCAAAGCTGAATTACAGGCTGAGATCGTGAGCTTAGAGGGGCAAACAGCACCAGAAGCAGTGGCCATCCGAACCATAGAGGAACGAGCACAACCTGAACCCCCATGCAAAAAATAGTCTCTGGGGGCTCTCCTGCAAAAACGAGCCACTGACGCTGCGCCGGAGGGTCCCGTCAGCGCAGCGCAACGAGCTGGAGCTGAAATAACAGTGTACTGTTTGGAACCTGTTATTCACGGGGACGAAGACCCTCTTCTCTGGTGGAAATATGCTGCCATTCATTTTCCCCAGATGTCACGACTGGCCCGGAGGTATCTATGCATTTGTGCCACCAGGTCACCATCGGAGCGGGTTTTCAGCACCGCAGGTAAAGTTGTTGGTCCACAATGTGCAAACTTGAACCCAGAAAAAGTAAACATGCTGGTTTTTCTGGCGAGAAATCTTAACTAGATTTGCTGCAACATGCCGTAATGTTCACACTCCTGTGTGTGCGCGCGCGCACGCATGTTGCCGTGTGACGGAGTTTTCTTTTTATAATTTTAATGCAGTTGTTTTGGTTGCAATTTTATAATTTCAATGTTTATGGTTATTCAACTCTTGCTGACTGTTACGGCCTATTTGCACCGTTTCATGCTGCTCGTTGATAAGTTGTTCACTTGATTTGCACACAGCAGCTGTCCTGGGTTTTTATGTTGATTTATTGCTGTTGGACTGTTGACTCTTTGCACTTGTTTATAAGCTGCGTTTTTTGTGTTAATAAATGTTGTTAATAGTATGTGAGTTGCGTTATTATTTTTTTAGTAATTGTTTGGCATTCGGATTCAGAAAGGTGAAGGTCCACTTGAGGCTTACGTCATACTGTTTAAGTATTCACGGTAATACCGTATACCGTGGTAAAATTAAGTGGAAGTTAGACGGTATTCAAATTTGGATACCGCCCAAGCCTAACGACAATAAAACTGAACTTCTTCTAGTTGGCACTAAATCCACCATCTCCAAATCTGACAGCTTTTCTTTAACTATTGACAGTGCCATAGTCTCCCCCTCCCCTCAGGTCAAGAGTCTGGGTGTCATCCTCGACAGCTCACTTTCTCTTCAAGCTCACATTAATAACATAATTCGGTCAGCATACTTCCATCTACGTTCCATAAACCGTCTTCGCCCCTCCCTTACCCCTCACACTGCCGCCATTCTCGTCCACAGCCTCGTCACCTCCCGTCTCGACTATTGCAGTTCACTTCTTTATGGTTTCCCCAACAAACTCCTTCATAAACTGCAACTGGTCCAGAATTCAGCAGCCCATATTATCACCAGAACCCCTTCCTTTCACATCACCCCGGTTCTCCAACAGCTTCACTGGCTCCCAGTTAAATTCAGGTCCATCTTCAAAATTCTCCTCCATACCTTCAAAGCAATCCATAACCTCTCTCCTCCATATATCTCAGACCTTATAAGTATTCACACCCCATCCCGTTCTTTCAGATCTTCTTCTTCCATCCATCTTGCGGTTCCTTCTGCCCATCTCGCTCTGCTCCTCGTCTCTGGAACTCAATTCCCCCAGACATCAGGAACATCGACAGTTTTACCCTTTTCAAAACAACACTCAAAACACACATGTTTAAATCTGCCTACAACCTCTGATTTTATTGAACTGTTTCTCTCTTTGTTTTTTCTTGTTTGGGTTTTATTGTTGTTTTATTGTGTTTTTTTTAAAGTATTTTCTGTCAAGTGACCTTGGGTGTTCTGAAAGGCGCTTTCAAATAAAATGTATTATTATTATTATTAAATGGCTGCAACCACAGTACAAAAAAATGCGACAGGCGTTTTCATTTATACTTATACTGAATTACTAACAACTTCATCTTCACCTGCCCCTGGGAAGAGTTTGCACTTGAAGACCATCTCTGACATCACACAGCCTAGAGACCAGATGTCCAAAGCCTCAGAATAAGAGAGTCCGAATATGAGTTCAGGGGCCCTGAAAAAACATAAGAGGACATCACACATTTAAAAGTAAAACATTTTATTCCTAAATGAATTACATCACTGAGTTGAACAGACCTTGCAGTAATGCACTGAAGCAGCTCAAGCTAACACTTTAAAGCAGGGCTGTCCAAATATTTCCAGGCCTAAAATCACCCTTAATGGTCTTCACGGGGCTCAAGTATTCTATTTTTATTAAATTAAATACTAACACAAATTTGTGGTAATTGGGTCAGGGTTAGGTCTAAAACATGCAAATGGGGAAAAACCTGAGATTTAAATGTTTGATCAATCATCAACAGCAAAAATAAACAAATCGATCTAGAAATGCAAGTGGAGGTCGTGCTTTGTACGTGCTTGCTTAAAAAACAAAACCATCAGAGTTAACATAAATCTTACTTGTAACGAAGAACCTGATTATCTCTGATGGACTTGGCGTCCTTTGTGAAGACAGACATGTCAAAGTCAATCAGCTTGACCTGCAGAGGCTTTATCGTTTGATCCACCAACATGATGTTGTTTGTTTTCACATCAGTGTGGATAACTCCAACCTTCTTCAATGCATCAAAGGGAGTGGCAAGCTGCAAACAAGGGTCAAAAATAGAAAATCTGGAACTTAAAAATCTGTTAATGTGTGGAATCTTGTTTCCTCTGAAGGTGCCATACTTGCTGGATGACTATTCTGATGTCCTGTAGAGGCATTGGCGTTTTCAATTGTCTGCGAGACTGATGCTGCACAGCTCCAAAGCCAGACTCAAATTTTTCAGGTCTGAATGAAAAAACCTGATGATGTTCTGCTCATGCAGATTGTTCTCCATTAGAAACATTAGCATTTTTAACTAAAAAGGTGTAACAAGCCCCAGGAGTTGGGCCTGTTGACAAGATTAAATGTTCCTGTAAAACAGGAAAAAGATGAGACAAGAGACGACAGGAGCTGTTAATCTTTGCCTTGCTCCCGCCAAATTTTTATTAATACAACTCCATGTATCTTCAAGTTGCAAAACTATCATCCTTCACATGGTTAAACTAAACACTTAATATGTAGCATCCTTAAAATTAAAATCATACATGCATTTGGTTCCTCTCAGCACAGACATTCACAACCAGGGATGTACGATACCGATACTGGTATCGGTAAAAGTTAACCGATACCAGGAACTGATAACAATGCAGTTGCTTGAAAATGGCTTCACTGTAACTTGTCATTTCTGTTCACCTAATATTTTAGTTTTGTGACGATTTCCATTCATATATTTTACTTTTTATCTACCTCACAGTAGGGCTGGGCGATATGACGATTTTAGACTGTTTTACGATCTACACATCTGACGGTCTGTCATTTTTGAGAGACCTTTTTATCACGATTCACAGCTCTGCTGTTGAAATTCTGCCTCTGAATGAAAAGGGAACTTACCTCCGGCGAATGACACGCCTTTGTTTGACCCTTAACCAATCAGAGTGAGTCATAGTAATATATTAGTGCCCCGCTTGTTCTCACCTGTGTGTGAACAAACATGGCTTCGGCCGCGGCTGAGAGCGACAGCGAGGTTTTCGTTCCGAAGAGGAACGCCTCGTCCGTAATATGGAACTAGTTTGGTTTTTCACCAGATGACAAAGAGCAGCGAAACATCATTTACAAGGAGAGCGTCAAGGCAAGTGATGGCAACACCACAAACTTGTTTAATCATTTGAAAAGAAGGCATCCCAAACAATACAATGAGAGCCAGCTGGCAGCTAAAGCTAAAAAGCCTGCGGCTGCAGCGGCTAGTGCTTCTTCCAGGCAGCAAACGCTAACAGAAACACACAAAACTCACTCCCTACGACAGAGACAGCAGACGATGGAACAGCGTGACAGATGCAGTGATGTACCACTTGGTTAAAGATTTGTGTCCCGTGTGAACAGTAGGAGCGGGATTTAAGAACATGATAATAACATTGAATCCGCGCTACGAGTTTTCCGTATTTTGAACAAGTTAATGTTTGCACAATACGTTTGCAATTGTCATGTTTGCACTTTAAATGTGTTTACGATTTTAATTTATGTTAAGTTACTTGAAAAACGAGAAAAACTGATTTTTGTAATTGTTTCTCTCAGGGCTTTTATCATCTCTGGTGTGAGTTTAAAATATAAGCGTGTTAGCACTGTGCTGATTAGCCCTAATATGAATAAATGTTTATTTATTCAATGTTTCTCTTCTTTAATACGCAATTGAAGTTATGCTATTCATGGATAAAAAATCGTGATAAAATAGAAATCGTGATAAAATATTGGAAAAATCGTGATATTCTATTTTTGCCATATCGCCCAGCCCTACCTCACAGTCTTTTCCTGTTGAAAGCAGAGAAGAAAATAAAATCTGTATTCCAAATCATTGCATTTTTTTGTGTGGTTGAGGTATCGGTATTGGTAATCGGCATCGGTGAGTACTCAGATCCAAGTATCGGTATCGCATCGGTTTGGAAAAAAGAGGTATCGGTGCATCCCTATTCACAACCGTATGAAATGTATGTTTTAATACATTTTATCTGTGACTTTAATCCAGAATATATCTATTTATGATTTTAGTCCAACATATTTTTACTGTTTTCTTAACCAAAATATATTTATTCTGCTTCAGGTCTAAATATTTATTCTGCTTTTAACAACAGTACCCGGGCTTGTTATAATGCCCAATTAGCTTATTAGCTCACAAAAAGCATCATGGAGGAAGTATTCTGGCAGGCTGAGCACAAACATTCTTCAAAAATCACTTTTCAGAACCAGTAACCACACATTCTTTACTGCCAACGGCATCTTAACCTATTTATGAAACGTATCAGGAGAAACCAGAGCTTATCTAGCTAAAACAGCACGAAATAAGTGTGGAATAAATGTAAAATAAAAATCAACATGGCGGCCGCGGCTGGCCCGACCTCGGCATTTTTTAGTCTCTTACATTAAACCATAGACTGTACATAAACAATGTTTATTAAACATTAAACCAATAACAGCGTTTGCACCCTGGTTTATACTTCCACGTTGAGCGGTGTTTCCCATCAATAGCTTACAACCATTTTCATGTTGTTTTACTCAGTCACTAACCTGTAAAACAGGAAAAAGGTGAGACAGAAGAGACGACAGGTGCTGTTAATCTTTGCCTCCCTCCCGCCGAATTGGAGAAGGGGACCCTCTAACACTGATACTCTGCCTCACTATTCAAGGCGCCACCCTGTGGTCTGGTGTTGTAATTGCAACCAAAAGAAAGACAGCAGTGTCACTTTTCCTCATTTCAACCATTACAGTTTCTAATGGGACTACACATTCAGGTCTGTAATCTTCAGACTGTCTTCGACGAGTTGTATGACCAGCAGCCCGCTCAAATCACTTTATTTACAGTTTAAATAAAATCCTGCGTGTTTTTGACGTAAGCTGCTCGCAGGTTTGCAAGCTCTTTAACAATTAGCAGTTAGCTTCGGGTTTATTGTTATTGTTTGAATGCTGTATTGTTTTCCTGTTTTTCTTTATAGTTTGAATGCTGAAGCATTCAAACTATTGTTTTCCTGTTTATCTTTATTGTTTGAATGCTGAAAAGCATTCAAACGATTGTTTTCCTGTTTTTATTCTTCTGCTTCTTCTTCTTCTTATTCTGCTTCCGTACACTTTTTGAACCTCCTCTTCTCCTTCAAATTTTGAGCTATTTCAACACTTTTATATCAAGATGTTCAGCTCGTTAAGCTCTTTCTGGCTATTACTTTTGGCATTGATATCTTTAAAATTTTTCGAGTTATTAAGCTTTTTCTGTGAAAAAATTCCCATTGAAATGAATGGGATTGGTCAATTTTCAGCAAATTCCTATCACCTTTTTGACCTCAAACTCTATTGGGTTCCTTTTAACTTAGAGACTTCATTCAAAGTTTAACAAACTCACAAGACATTCCCGTTTAACATATTAAAGAGGCTTTTTGATATCTTTTACGGTTTTTCTAAAATCGCAGGTAGAAGTTGAGGTACGACTTGAAAATTTCAGAAAAAATCACAAAAGTTATAATGGGGAAAGATAGGAGCAGTTACCCTCCCTTGCTCCATTTCTGATGTTGTACTGAGAGAACCGTAGGTCCGATTGAAATGAGACACATACTGGCTTACAGCTAACAGAAATACCTTCATTTTGAGCTATAATTCATGACTGTACTCCAAACATTATGGCCGTACGGTTCATTTGTTTGAGAAAATTCAAATTTAAAAAAATGTCTCTCACCACTCTACCCGCACTCTAAGTTTTGAACTTCACATCTTCTGTGAACAGCTCTTTACTAACCCCACCGTTTGGACTACCAAAACAAATTATAACTCAAAAAGTAGGAATTTTTGTCAGCTTTTTCAGAATGGCTTTCATTTTCTCTGTAAGTGTTACCGTTCTTTCGCTACAAGCCTCAGAAGGACGAGAGACCCAGATTCTCGCTCATTGAAACCCATGTTAAAGGAACAGAGATTTTCTCCTCAGTTCGGCTTCAGACAGCTAAAAGTTTATCGTCATAGCTTCTAGACAGTTCATGGTAGGCACATAAAAATCGGCACAGATGATCATCAAAGTCTTCTGCCACTCAAGCTTTTTGAATTTTTCAAATCGGTGCAGTACTTTTCGAATGGTGATGAGAGGTTTGACAGGTCCAATTTCACTTCTGAAGGACAGATTTCAAGGGTTCTCTCGTTAACAGGAGCATAGGCGGAGATCCCAGGGGGGGCGGGGGGGAAGCGTCCCCCCCTCACACAAAGTTGTCCCCCCCCACAAAAGTTATTATAAATGTATAAATGCTATCAGTAAACCTGTATTGTCTTCTAAAACCACAACATGAAAGTTAGTCTGCAAATACAAAAAATGTGATTTTAATTGTTGAGAAATTATAGTCCCCCCCCACCCCCCACCCCCAATTCCTCAAGTTGGTACGGTCGGTCCACACGTGCCGTTTCCAATGGGCGGGGCTGCCGGCTTTGCCTCGCTCACAGCTTCACAGCAGCCCGCAGGCTCACAGGAAGCGGGAATCAAAAAGCCAGCGGTTTCCAGCAGTAAGTCAATTATCTCAAGCTTGTTCTACAAACTTAAATATGTATGTCAAATGCGTTCATAAATGATGCAGAATGATTCTTCTTCCGGCACTCACAGGGAGCAGTCGCTTCTGCCTTTCCTCCCTTATCTGTATTTTCCCAAGGCTCTTTTTGTCCCGTCTGCCTACAGAGCGCTTCTCTGCATTTCCTCTGGAAATCACAAATTTTCAGCATGGAGTTAATTAATTGGTCATTCAACGCGATTGATAAGATTTTTTCTACAATGAGGACGGAGGAGGGGGCTCGCGCTTGCCCTCAAGGGACACATGCAGCGGGATATATGTTCGATTCCTGGAATAAGTGGAATATCATCTGTCTCTCTCAGCTGTCCATTGAGGACGTCGAAGATATATGGATATTTGGTCTGATGATCGTCGGATTTCTTCTGATTGGAGTGGGAGGATATCTGGCTTTCCGTAAAGCTGGGATGACGGGAGCGATTGGAGGGCGACCCGCATCCATGGATGGCACCGTCCGTGTGGATACCTCACAGACTGGGACGTTGCTCGAGGTGAATCGCAAGCTGGACAATGTCTTAGCTGCGTTACCGGTGTTAGCGCGCAGGATTGATAACATCTCGGAAAGGGTCACCGGACGGTGTGGAGATGTTTAATCACCTAATTGGCTTCACTGGAGGACTTGAATGATCAATACAGACTTTAAGGCAGAGAGGAAAAATTATCTCTGCCTGACCCAAACAAAGTTCTGTTATGGAATCTGACGCCACATGCAGCCTTGGAGTTGCGTGCAAAAAACCCCACGATGGAAGGAATGCAGACAAATGCTGTGAAACTCTATCCACCCACCCCCCCGCCTCCAGATTGTGGTCTCTACCGAGGTCATTAAGCTGAAGGACTCACTGCTCTCTGTGCCTCCCCATGACCTCCCTCCCACCTGCGGAGTCAGCTGGTCGGGTGCCACACAGGGAGCCCCCGCTGAGGAAACCAGGATCCCAGCCCCCCCCCCCCCCCCCCCCCCCCCCCCCCTACCGGGTCTCATGTTGTGAACTGTGACGTTTGTGCTTACATGTCGGGTGGTTTTTTTGCATTAGAGTGCTACACCCTGCTGGTGTAACCCTGTTAATGCCTCCCCCCCCCCCCCCCCCCCGCCCTGAACTTTCCTCATGTATTCCCTCATTCATCTACAAAGGAGCGCCGTCATGGCTGCTCCCATGGTCTGCCTGTATCTGTCCTGTCTATGTGTGTGTGTAACCTTGGCCAGGTTGTACCATGGAGTCAAGTTCCTATGCTCTGATCTGATCTGAGCGCTGGCAATAAAATTCATTCTGATTCTGATTCTGATTCTGAGGAAGATGAGAGACACAGGACAGGAAAATAGTTCAATAAAAACAAGAAAACAAAACAAAGTGTTGAAAAGTAAAATGTAGGTAGATTTATCTCCACTACACACATGTAATATTTATACATTTGATACAAATCAGATCACCTTCAAAACTCAGTCACACACCCAGGGCCGTTTCAAGACATTTTGGGGGCCAAGGCAAAATGACCCCCCCCCCCCCCCCCCCCCCCACACACACACACACACACTAAATATCATACAAGAGAATTAAAGAGAATTTAAGGTGAAGCGCTTGCGCATACTGTGTTATTGTTTGCTTTGTTCTGTGTGTAGAAACACGTTCAATTTGATTGCCCGTCAGAAGGTGGGAAAGTGCCCCGCTCCCACCCAGCCCCCTGATTGGTTGAGAGAGGTCAATCATCTTCTCGCTAAATGGAATTACACACCCACACACTGTGAGACATCAAATCGATCGGGTAGGCCTAAGGAATCCATCCATCCGTCCAACCAACCAACACACCAACCATCCATCCATCCATCCATCCATCCAACCAACCAACCAACCAACCAACCAACCAACCAGCTCTATACACTTACAACTAGCAGCATTGCTGACATTTTAACACTAGTCAGAAGGCAGGAACCGCCCCCTCCTCCTTCATTGCTCTCTCATTGGCTGAGAGTTTTCAATCGTCTTCTGCCTAAAAGGAAATGTGCACCCACACGTATGGTACATCAATTCAACCTGCTTGGTCCCAGGAGTCTTGTATTAACTTGATATTGTGCTCTTCATTTTCCTTCCAGCCTTCAGAGAGTACAGACGCTTTTTTCTCAGCTCCCTTATCGGCTTCCCCAAGGCTCTTGTCCTGTCTGCCTACAGAGCACTTCTCTGCATTTCTCCTGAAACCACTACTCTCTTTTTGGAAATATGGACTTAATTAATTGGTCATTCAACGTGATTGACAAAATTTTCTCTACGATGAGAACGGAGAAGGGGGCTCCCACCTGTCCCGAGGGGACATTCGCATCGGGATATGCACTCGATTCTTGGGAGGTCTGGCGAATCGTGTGCCTCTCTCAGCTGTCCATCGAGGACGTGGAAGATTTGTGGATATTCGGCCTGATGATCACTGGATTTCTTCTGATTGGAGTGGGAGGATATCTGGTTTTCTGGAAATTTGGGAAGACGGGAGCGATTGGAGTGCGACCCGTACCCACGGAATGTGCCGCTCGTGCGGTGACCTCACAGACTGGGACGTTACTCGAGGTGAACCGTAAGCTGGACAATGTCCTTGCGGCGTTGCCTGTGTTAGTGCGCAAGATGGATTTGATCTCGGAGAGGGTCGCCGGACGATGCGGGGATGTGGAATGTAAAATTGGCTTCACTGGTGGACATGAATGACCACTTAGAGACTACAAGACGGAGGGGAAGATTATCTCTGTCTACCCTAAACAAAGTTATGTTTATCCTTATCTGACGCCATAGCAGCCTCTCAAGGCTGCCTCAACACACCCCCACAAAAG